ATGGATTTTTATTAGGAACAAGAATTGAGTTAAGTCAGATTTCAATAGTGATTTAAAGTCGTTAAGATTTTGGGTTTCCTAATCCCAGATTTCTTCTAAATTTCATTGCAATTGTCCACCATGTTCTTCAAATAAAAAATTCCTGCACCTTCTAAACCACATTACCCACCCTTTGGTGAAGAAAGTAAGCGTTGAAAACGCCTCAAACCCATTCCCTCAATCCTGTCTGTCACTAAATGAGTTTGAAGAAAAGCTTGGAATTCAACCCGAGGCTACCTGCGAATTCACCAAGAGCTAATCCCATTTGATTTATGCACATTCAAGGATTGTTTTTGTAGAAGACAACGAAGAGAATTAACTCCAAGAAGGTGCACTATTGAATAATGTCATTTTTGGGTACAAAATTAAGGGTAAGGATCGAATTCCCATCTATAGTCCAAGTTTCTTCAAATTGAGTCTTCTTCTAGCTAAAACATCCTAGATCATATTGCCCAAGAAAAGAAAATTTCACGCTTTCGAGTGAGTTACTGATAAGTCAACCCTAATTCTTAGCCGAACAATCCAAGATTTTGTTGAAACAACACCTCTTGAATGAAATTAACATCTCCTTATATAAATTTGGATCAACTAGTAGAGATGTAACTTGGTTCTAAATTAAGTCAGTCTATCATCAAACTTGATCAATGCTTGATTGAATGACTCATATGCAATCTACTACAAGAATTTCTTTAAGCTTAGAAATGACAAAAATGATTCCCAAATTTCTAAGGGTGAAAATCTCAATTGTGATCTTGATTTTGTTCCTCACAGATCTGATTTTTACATAATAATTTATGGGTATTTATAATCTCCGAAACTTTCAATTTTTCAATGCACACTAAATAGGTTAGTGACCATACTTTAATCCTAATCACTTAAATCTTCTCAAGACCAAGTCAATTTAACAAATAACTTAGCTCTGTTGCCCATTACAAGAATTATGAAATTAAAAATAATAAATAAAGTTTTCTAACAACTCATGAAATAATGCTTGCAACTTTATCTGCTACTTCAATCGTGCAAATATTCACTTGTAAAGCTCCAAATGGTTCTTCCTCAATTGAATCAGTTTGTAACACATTAAATGATGGTTGAATCGAGTCTATACAATTTTGTAGATGAAGAATGAGTGCTTGTTGAATCTTCTTGGCCTTGAATCGTGTAATATAGAAAAACTTGGAATATTTGGAACACCGAGATCCTTATCAATTGCAGACCGATGATCAATTCTCAAAATTAAGGCCACACTTAAATACGTCCATCCAAAATAATTCATTTAGCTAGAGAGAAGAATAAGAAAGAAATTCCATGAAGAAATTAGGCCCTTAGATGTAAAGACCGAGACTCGATGACTAAAACTTTAGCTGACTCGATAGTGTAAAAAGATGGGCAATTTTTTTTTTTTTTTTTGCGAAATAAACAAAAAGAATTTACAACATAATATACATTATATTTATATCATAACAAAATAAAGTCGTATATGAGGAGTTAAAACACAACAAAATAGTTAAACATGAAATAAGGAACAAACATAAAATATTTAAAACAAAAGTGTATGGAGGGCGATGGGTGAGGCTTGTCTATGACACCTGCTTGAGAGTCCACTCCCAACCTCGACCAACTCTTTATTTACCTGAAAAACATGAAAGACATGGAGTGAGTACAAAAACTCAATAAGTAACCTATTTGTAGACTCTTAATCGTGTCCTTGATATACTAGAGTACCAAACTCTTATTTTCTTGTTTTGGTTCTTGTTATAAGTACTTAGGTCCTTAGGTTCTATTCCTAGTGTATGAATCATTGTCATGGTCTTGCCTAGAGACTTTGGTCCTTGAATTCTGAAGTCTCAACCAAGGTTGAAATTATGGGTCTTAGTATTGTAGTTTTGGGTTCTTTTCCTTAGAACTTGAATCTTGATCCATGTTCTAGTTCTTGAACGTTTTCTTGTTCTTGTTTTCTTTTTGTGTTTTTGTTATGTTCTTGGTTTATTCTCCAAGACACTCCCCCTAGAGTTTTCGATACTAGTCATGAACCTGACAGCCTCTACCTTGATCTATAAATATGAAGTTCTGTGCAATGTTTTAAGACAAGAATCAAGTGATGAGGATTCCTAAAATTCGAGTTTGAAGCTTTTAGATTATGGGTTTTTCTTCCTCAGATTTTTTCTAAATTCGAGGGTTATGGTTAATCATTTTTCATCCTACCAACTTCTACACATTCCATATGGGATTTCTAAAAATTTTTGTGAAGGAATCGAGCAATGAAAAGCTCTAGAATCGGCTGTCCAATAAAAGGCTAGAAACATGTTTTTCGACAGACTTTGGAAGGTTATAACTCAAGCTACATACCATGACAAGATATGAAATTGGCCTCTACTTCTTTCTTGAAACATCATCTAAACGTTTCGTGAAGAAATTTAGCCCATTAGAGATGTATACAGAGTGGTGCAAAGGCAAAACTAGAGGGTTATGATAAGAAAAAATCGTGATTTTTCCAACAACAAACGAAGAAGATGAAGTCCAAAGTCAAAGGTCAAACTTTAACCAATAAAAGTCAAAGGTAGCCATATGTTGACCTTCTACATTTTTTTTTTTTTTATAATCAATTTGGACCTCTTTTAGATCGGTTCTCATGAATTTATTTATGGTTCTTGAAGCTAGACTCAAAGATGAATCTAATAATGAAAATTTGGAATAATTCAGATACCGAAAACTCAAGAACGGAAGTCTCAAACATCAACGACGAGATAAGTAGCCACCTTGGACTTTTCTTAAGAAATACTTGTGGGAATCGCTTGGATTTCCATATGAACCCCGAACCAAGTTTGAATTAAAGATACATAAAAGAAAAACTCAAAGAACCACGAGTTAAAGCCCTGAACTGATCAAATTGCTCGGGATTTAACTAACATTAAAATAATCAACTAGATAAACTTTGTTGCGTATGAAATTTTAATGCTGAGCATATTATAGCATGAGTAGGTAAACCAAGAAATGGTGCAAAATGACCATATTGCCCCTAAGGATATCTACCTACGATTCATGACCTAGAGGACTTCCAAATGCTATTAAATTTTGTAGTAGATCTTATTTTGTGATGTCTGAAGATGTGGCGAAGTTTGAAAGCCATGGGAACATGTTAAGTAACAAAACCAAGAATTAGGGGTAAAATGACCAAAATGCCCCTAAGACTACTTATGAGAATTCAAGGTCTATATGTGGTCCAAATGACTTGCTATTTCTTATAAGACCTATTTCTAAGGGCAAAAAGGTATGTTCAAGAGTTCAAGTTGATTAGAGCAAACTTGGAACCTAAAGCAAGTTAGGACAAAAGAAACACCTCAAGACTCAAGACCCTTCTAAAAGCCTCTAAGGAATTCATTATGAATCTATGACCTTCTAGAATAACTCATGCTTGTTATTACGATGGATTTATATGTTTACGAATGCATGTTACAACTTATGTCTGAAGAAATTATGAACCTTAGAAACTTACAAGATTGAGAACCAATAACAATATCATACGAGATCTACAACTATGAAAGCAAAAAGAACGTAGGTAACCCTAATGACTTACCAATATATTTAAAATATTACTGCATAAATGGCATTTAAAAATCTGTTGTTTTACATAGATAAATTGCACTATTTACATTAACTTGGGTTAGATTAAATACGGATGAAAATATTTTATATGGGGTTACATTAAAGACGGATAAATTTATAAATTCACTGCAATCAAACTGTACCTTGATTAGTTCTACAATTAAAAAAAATTAATAATAATAAAAAATAAATAAATAATAAGCTAAATTAATAAAAATATCAACTTTGTTTAATAATATTCCATCTTAAAAAAAATCTCAAAATATTCTTAAATTAAAAAAAATAAAAAAATAAAAAATAAAAAAAAAGGTTAAAAAATACCTTTGTAGTGGTTAGTTTTAAATAGAAACTGTCTTTAAAATAAACGACTTTCATCAAAAGAGTTAAAAAAATCTCCTTTCAAAAGTAAGGCTAAATAGTTTGACACGATTTTTGTCAATAGATTGAGAATAAAAAAAAAATAATTTTGTTTATAAAAATAAAAGATGATAATGTTATTTTTTAAATTTCATAGATATATTTTAAATATATGGTACAGGTATTTTTTTAATTTTTTTAAAAATCGAAGGATATTAATGAAATTTTTTGAAGTTTAAAAATTTATTTGAAAGATTATTAAAAGTTACAGTATATTTTTTAAATAAAATTTTTAAATAAAATACTAACGATTTTCATTTGAAATAAAATACTAACGATTTTCATTCTAAACTAGTCGTAAAAATATTTTTTTATTTTTTTTTAATTTTAAGATATTATTGGATATTTTTTAGAAAAAATTTATGAGTATTTTTATTAATTGAGGAAGAAAAAAAAAATCCGCCCAAACCGTTAGAATTGAAATTATACAATAATAACTAATTGCAACAACTTCACAACTCTAAAAGAATAGTGGCTCAAATTAAAAACTCAAATAACTAAACTCCAATGGATCCTATGAAGCTTAGTTCTCAACCCAACCCAACCTTCTTTTTTGGAGTTAGATTGGATTATCGGGTTGTGTTTTAAAAAAAAAAAATTAACAAATCCTACTTTTAAGACATAATTAAAATCTTATGAAACAACATTTACTAGTCATAATGCATTACTAACATTCGTTATAGACGTTAAATATTCTTAGTCTTTCTAAAAGTAGGGTAGGATATCATAGTGTTAAATTGTAACCCTATTTTCGGGTTGGCCAGATCACCAAAAAAAAAAAATGTAACCCAAAAACTGATCTGAATTTTTGGTTTTCCGATTTTCCAAAAATTCAAGGAGAAAAAAAAAAGAAAAAAACTCTAGCCTATGATTGAGTTACGGTAATCGAGTTGGTTGGGTTATTAGATCATAGAACACCGCTAACTTATAATGAACACTAAAAATAAAATAAACAAAAACTGTGATTGATACCAACGTCTATGGTTACATGCTTCAAATATTTCAGTTATATAATGATGTAGATGTAGGGGGAGGGGTGTTAATTGTATTGAAATTTGTCATCTACCATACCCAGAATTCCTGTCGAAGACATTGATTTCCATTTCCATATTTTCTCAGTGATATCTCCTCCCCTGCATGTTTAACATTCAGAATAATTAAACCATGTCATAAGAAAATTTTCGAGTTTATAGTATCCGGAAAGTTCTTTATTCCTGTCATGCAAGCAACTGATAAAAAAGTACTGCTTCAATGTCAATTGGGATAATTAATATTAGACATTATTAATCAACATTCAAATGCTTCCAAGATTTCGAAACTCAAGAAACTATAAATATACACAGACTTACAAGATTAAGTAGGTGAGTGATTAGCCTTTAAAATTGAGCACCTTTCGCCATATTTTTAAAACTTGTCAATCTCAACAATACTATACATTATCTATAAGCTTTGGAATTATGCTTTGTCCATAAGGTATTGTTTTGTTTTGTTCGCCAAAATTTACAGAAAAGGTTCCCACAATATTTATCAGAATGATTGTCTTATAAAATGCAGGATGATATGCTAATCTGGCGTTTTGATGTGGTTGGTCTGTGGAGAACTTCATATCGGAGCAATATGTTTGAATAACTAGGGGAAGATTATGAGATCCCACATCAGTTGGGGAGGAGAACGAAGCATTCTTCATTCTTTATAAGGGTATGAAAACCTCTCGCTAACAAACCTGTTTTAAAAACCTTGAAAGGAAGTTTGAAAGGGTAAGCATAAAGAGGACAATATCTGTTAGAGGTCGGCTTGTGCTACTACAAATGGTATCAAAGCCAGATCGGGTGATGTGCCAGCGAGGAGGCTAAGCCCCAAAGAGGGTGGACTCGATGCGGTGTGCTAACAAGGACGCTGGGCCCCGAAGAGGGTAGATTGTGAGATCCCAAATCTGTTAGGGAGGAGAACGAAACATTCTTTACAGGGGTGTGGAAACCTCTCCCTAGCAGACGCGTTTTAAAAACCTCGAGGGGAAGTTCGAAAGGAAAAACTCAAAGAAGACAATATCTGCTAGCAGTGGGTTTGGACTGTTACAAAGATACCGTTGTTTCATACACATGTTTGTTGTATATTATCAGATAATGGTTAAGCAATTACCTTTATTATTCTTCAGGAATGTCTAGTATAAATGTTTGTTAGATTTAGTGCTTCTATCTAGGTGTCAGATAGATAGGAGTCCGCTTTCAATACAAAAAACCAGGACTCTTACACGACTGCCCACGAATCATAATATTATATATGGAAAGGTAAAAGTCTAGGTCTACTACCAAGTAAGAAACTGAAGACCCCAACTTAGTGTTGTGTATGGTACTCATACTAGAATTACAACTTTCACAATAATGAGCTGATTCAGATATGATATACACCCTACAAATGTAAGTTGTGTGCTTAAAGTGTCTACTCGAAATGCATTCTCTCATCAACTGCATACCATTCATCAGAACTTGAATTTGAAATTACTTGAGAAAATTGATTTTGATGCATACTAGGTGTTGATTTGTTTTTTCTTTTAATTCTCTATGCATGCAAGTTTAGATAAACTTTTCAATCAAGGTATAGAGTCTTACCACTGTTATTGCTTAATCTTCAGGGAATTTTCAATGCGTTGAATGAGTTCACCCGCAGCTACAGCTCCTTCCTGCATATCGATAATTCGCATGCATGTTTAAAATAAACAATAAATAATCTAAGCACAAGAAACTGAAAGTCCGTTTAACTGACATTTCAACCGGAATGTCTAAAAAAGTTACAAGATTGTTTATGGAATCTCACTAAAACCAAAAGAAAAGGTGAAAGAGTTATAGTCTATCGGTAGTAGTTGTCAAATTGTGAACCAAGTTTTGTGCTTTAATTCGGAAGATTGTTAGTGGTTCTTAACTTGAGGAGAAAGTTTAGGACACTAGTAAGTGCTTTCTCTACTATAAATATTCCTGAGATATATGCTCTTTTCACAACTACAACAACAAACAAAATTGAAAAGCTAAGTGGTTAAGGTTTTTTTGTTCCAAAAGATCTCTCCCCTCAAATTGTGAACCAAGTTTTGTGCTTTAATTCGGAAGATTGTTAGTGGTTCTTAACTTGAGGAGAAAGTTTAGGACACTAGTAAGTGCTTTCTCTACTATAAATATTCCTGAGATATATGCTCTTTTCACAACTACAACAACAAACAAAATTGAAAAGCTAAGTGGTTAAGGTTTTTTTGTTCCAAAAGATCTCTCCCCTCAAATTGTGAACCAAGTTTTGTGCTTTAATTCGGAAGATTGTTAGTGGTTCTTAACTTGAGGAGAAAGTTTAGGACACTAGTAAGTGCTTTCTCTACTATAAATATTCCTGAGATATATGCTCTTTTCACCACTACAACAACAAACAAAATTGAAAAGCTAAGTGCTTAAGGTTTTTTTTGTTCCAAAAGATCTCTCCCCTCCAAGTTTTTCCTTCGCTTCTTTTACTTGTTGCGACATATTTTGATCGTGGATCAAATCCAACCATGATAATATGTTAAAAGTGAGCAAATTGAAAATATGGGCATACCTTCGAACTCTTTGAAATTAAACTGGGTGCATGAATTGAGGAAAGATACAGTCGATAATGGTTTCAGAGAAATAAAGGATAGAACATAGTAGAAACTTCGAGTGTAATTACAGGATTTCTTGGAAAAACTGCCCGTTTTCGTTCAAATTCAGAAAGAAAAAAGATGCAATTGAATAAAGATTCTGAAACATATATGTGATTTCTTGACGCATCTAGAGTTGGTTGTACATTCAATATCTCTCCAAATGACAAGAAATAGGATAAAGCATTCACTTACGAATCGGTCAAGGGGTTTTCCATCTTTGAAAAGGATAAACGTAGGTAATGCCTCTATTTTGTATTTATCAGCAATGACAGGATATTTCTCAGTGTCAATCTTGACCACCTGGACTGTGTCACTCAGCGCATCACTAACTTTTTCAAGAATTGGAACCATAAACTGACAAGGACCACACCTGCAAACGAGGAACTATTGATATGAACCAAAAGACATCAATCATCCGATATACTTCAATAAAGATGTGAAGAAAATGTTGTTGAAATTATCCAAAGCTATTTCAATTCATGTCACACTCAAGATGAATCTCCTAGTTCATATCAGCTATGTTTACCCATCATTTAAAAACTACCTTTTTGAATAACAAAATTATCTGTTCTACAATTCAACCCCTGTTCTCCTCAGCAGCCAAGCACTAACTTGCTAACTGAATCATATTCAATAGGTAAAATTGCTCAGGAGAAACAACGGCTTATTTTGAAATTATATATTAAAAACATGATTCCCACAAATTAATATTATCGGTTAGGAACCACAACTCTCACAATGGTATAATATTGTCCACTTTGAGCATAAGCTCTCATGGCATTGCTTTGGGCTTTTCCAAAAGGCCTCATAACAATAGAGATGTATTCCTTACTTAAAAAATCCATAATCATTCCATAAATTAACCAACGTTGGACTCTCTCAACAATCATCCACCAGTGAAGTGGGGTGAGATTTAAAGCCATGCCTGCAATGCTCTTGTAGAAAGAGAAGCTTGAAAATAGGTGTGTGCATGTGAGTGAGATAAAGAGACCAACCAGGTTGCGTAGAAGTCCACTAACACGGGCTTGTCAGAGTTGGCCAATAAATCATCAAAGGAAGAAAATGTTTGGTTCTTGGCTTTGACCTACAGAAGTTAATTTGTACAAACAAATCCCATCGTTATTCATTACAGCAGCTTGAACACAAATTGGCATCCATATTTAAACAAGCTACTTGAGAATCGAGAAAACTATTAATGCAGCTTTTAAGAGCAAGAAAAAATCTCTACAAAAAGGGGAATGCAATCCTTCTAATCTCTGAGTGAACTTGTAAGGACAACTACTTAAGAACTTAATTTCTCTTATAAAACTAATAGAACCAGACAGATTATAGTTTCTTCTTAGGTAGAGTCCTAATTTGCAACTAGGTGAGCCAACAACGAACAATGTATTTCTAGTTCTACGTAAACCGGAAGCGGATACAATCAAAAATCGAATTAAAGGAACACCAGAAGTATAAGAAAAACAATTACATCACATAAACTTCGTTCACCAGAATTAGGCACAAAAATTAACGATAAGTCGCTGAAGGTTAGATGCGAAACAAAATCAACAATAAGAACAAAAGCAAAGTCCAAGGATTCCAAATTCTTTGTCAGGTTCCTCCATAAAAACAAAACACAGATCTAAGGAAATAGATTATTACCACAGGGAAGATTCGAGACCGCGACGGAGCAGAAATCCCACAGTTTCCAAGTCGAACACATCGAAGCTGAACCGGTAGCTGTAGAGACGAGGAGAAAAACAATCTAGATGAAGATGAATCATTCACGGCGAAGCGATTGGAGCGCTCTGAGGTGAGGAGAGGATAAGGTGATGTTGAAATGGAGGCTGCCATGTGAAGCTCTGTGTGCTCGCTCCTACAATGTCGATAGAGGAATTTTGTCGTCTGTTTTGGCTATACGGAGAAGCCAAAGGCAAGCGGAAAAATATAGTTAAATTCATCTTTTGAATCAACGAGAAAAATAGAAAATATAAAATTAAAATATATATAAAAAGGAAAAATTAAAGACGATCACATGCAACCATGGTGGGACCTCATTGAACTTTTTTTCCAATACGAGCAAAGTTGGATGTATAGTACTTTTTGACACATGACCCATACATACGCACATGGACCCATTAATCGAGCTCGTATATGTACCATTTGGGTATGCTCTTTGGCGAGTGTACATTCACGCAGCTGGAAGCCATAGAGGGAAAGGAGCCCGTATAATATTATAACGTTCATACTATCGTAAAATACGCATCCGTCTTAATCATAATGGGGAAGTGTTTCAATACACGTGAAATACAAAATGCATGAGATCCCATAGTATCAAATCATGACACATAATTATGATACAAGTCATACTTCCATTCTTCCGTGACAACATGCTGTAAGCCAAACTTAAATGTATAATTGATTGGTTTTTTTAAAATAATATTTTATATATTTCAAATATTTTATATATTTCAAATATTTTATATATTTCAAATATTTTATCTGTTTCTCTTTATTGTTTACTTTTGATCAAAAATGAGAAAATTTTATTACTTGGAAAAATAATGTTAGCACTATTGTTTAATTTGTCTTCATTTCAAAATGTTCTTAAGACCTATTGTCAATATCAATCGAATTATGCGAAGAGCACACGATTGATGAATCAAAGATAACATGTTGGATATCAAAGCTAATGGATAAGAAAATAACAAGAAATATATGAGATGTTTAAGTCTAAAAGATTTCGAAATTATATATTACAAAATTTAATAAAAATAATCTTATTACTGAAGTTAGAGTAGAAAGTAGTTCCTAATTAGTTAAGATAATATGTAATTCTTCAAAAAATATTTAAAGACGTAGAATAGTAATCTCAGTTATTGCAGTGGTTGACATTAAGATGTTATCAAGTAAAGATGTTACTTTTATTAAGTAGTTCATCTGAATTACTGTATATATCATGAATATTGAATGCAGAAATACTTCATTTAAACTCTCATAAAAAGTCACCTTCATGTTAAAACATAGTCATGTACATAACAAAAGACTAAATAAAATAAACAAACGTTTAAATTAAAACATCCTATTCTAGCCTGAGTCTAAGAAAATAAATATGACTTCCCTATGGATGTGTCATGGTCTTGAGTTGCGATGTCGTTGTCATCCGTACATGAATGTCTTGCCTTAACCTGAAATAAAAGCAGCACGTGACATGAGTATTTAAAGAAATACTAAATAATTGATCGCACTATAGGGGTTAAATGCAAGAACATGTGAATGCAATGACATGACCTATCATATCAGTCTATTTTCCTGTAGCACTATCAGGTTGGATGTGTACCATATATTCTACACACAACCCATACGTGCGAGTATGGGCTCACCAGTCAGTTCGCACACCGCTGAGTCCCTTTTCTTATTGGGCAAGCTTGCTCTGGTAGCTCTTTATGCTAGACACCCATTATAATTAGTCATTGTCACGGCAGCATTATGTGAAACATAATGATACTTCACCTGCCTTGATATGAACCACGACCAAGGAATTTCCATACCTCAAGGTCCAATTACAAGGACGAGAGCCAAGAAGCTACAACAAACTTTATACAGTTATATTCAAGCTATGGTGAGCTCATCAAAGGAAATTCTAGAAGACGCTGGAGACCTCCCTTATATGTTGTGCAAAGTTGAGGTTCAAGAAAGAGATGAATTAAATGCACTTTAAGTTGCATTTAATAAACTCCGCTGAATTTATCAAATAGTCCAAGGATGACTAATAAGCACATTTTATTATTTGCATTATTTAATTATAGTTTAACTATTTGTTTGTCATATTTAAACTAGTTTTAAATATAGGAGTTAAGGTTATATTGTAACCCACATAGGTTACTATATT